TTTTTTTTGTGACTAAACGCCAAGGTTGAGTCATTTTTTGGACCCAAATTAAGTTATTTTTGAACCAGCAGTTTTCAAAGTGTAGTTTTTTGCGGGAGGGTCCCTGTACCCCAAAAGTCTGAGAACCCCTGATTTTGAGGAGTCATCACCTACGCAACGCATGAAAAACACTCCATGTGTGCAGGTAAACACAGTTTTTGTTGTTTGTTTTTGTTTTTTTAAAGGCTGCTCCTGGGTTATGCTTGCAGTACCGGACGCGCGCTCATGTCCCTCCGGTACTGTTCCAGCCACTTCCTGAGCTCCGAGATCCGGTAGCCCTCCGGCCCCCGGCCCCCCTGGTAGACCACCCTTTGGTCGCGCACGATGTAGAGTCTCTCGAAGTAGGCTCCATAGGCGGCATTGGACGAGTTGTCCATGTTGTCCACCACCACGCTGCTGCCGGGCACCCGTGCCAGCATCAGGCGCGCGGCGCTCAGCCGGTCCTCCAGGCAGCGGTGCTTGAGAATCTGGTAGGGGGCGTCCGAGCTCACCCAGCCGTCGGCCGGGTGCGCCTCTTCGATGTACACCACCACGAAGTCGGCGATGTCGGCGTATTGGCTGACGACGCGCTGGAAGGCGGCCAGGCGCGTCATGAAGGGCGGTCAGGAGCAGCTGCCGAAGTTGAGCACCAGCGGCCGCGTGCCGCGCATGCAGTCCAGGATGCGCAGCGGGCGCCGCTCGGGCACCAGCACCACCTCCGTGTTGGGCGCCGCGCGTCCCAGCCGCGCCGACTTGAGCAGGTCCAGCTTCTGGCCGTACCACACGGCCCGCAAGGACTCCAGCGTGAACATGCGGTTGGAGTCGGACACGCACAGCGGCGGGTCGTCGGCGCTGTGCGGCCGCGCGCCCATCTGGAGCAGCACCTTGCGTCGGATGCAAAGGAAGTCCAGGAGCCACAGCGTCACGGCCGCGGCCAGGAAGCGAGGCACCAGCAGCAGGAAGAGAGCGGCGAGCTTCAGAGCCCGCGTCAGCTGCACCCCGCCGGAGTCGTGCATCGTGCGGCGAGAGAAACCGACGGGACGGGACGGCACAGGAGATCCGAGCCGGTCGTCAGTCGCCTCGACACATTGGGTACGGAACTCTCCCGACGTGCGCGCTCCCTCCTTTTATAGGGCCGGCACCGTTTGAGTCATCACCGCCCACTCACATGGTGGGGGATTACCTCCTCTCACCTCCGATCACTACACAGTCACCTTGAACCCCCCCCCCCCCTTTTGAAGTTGCGTATTCGTTACATTCTGTTCTCTTTCTCCAGCGGACGATGTGGGAACAAGGGGGGAAAAAAGTTTTTGACGTCAACATCAGCTGGGAACTCCTGAAGCAAGTGTAGGGACGTTTCTCGACGCTAGACGGCGCTGGACCCCCGTACAGCGAAGGAGTGGAGGTGAGTGCAAACGGGATGCGATTGCGTGGGTGACTCATTCACGGTTTGGACCTCCTCATTAAGAAACCGCATGCGGGCCGTTCGATATTCATATTTGTTGGAATTTTAAGAACTTTGATCGAAAAAAGGCGCACTACTAAGCCCGTCTTGCAAATGACATTCAAATGTACTGCATTTATTGATTCAATGATACATTTAGTTGCGTAGATTGATTGAATGTATTTATGTAATTGATTTAAAATAAACAAAAGAATCACTTTGTACAGTAACAATATTCCGTTGAATTGTTCGAGTATTTTGCAATGTTGTAAATAGCAATGTATTACTTGCTAGCAGTGGTTAGTTTTAATCAAATGAATGAATTTTAATAGTACGTGTCTTCCAGGATATTCAATGCAGTTGCTTGTTTAAAATTATATATTGAGAGTAATTGTCTTAATTTGCACTATTGTTTCAATTTTTGAGCGACGGGGGTGGAGGTGGGGGGGGGGGTAAAATACAATTTAAAAATAATCTATTGATGATTTCATTCATTTTTTCCCTCTGCTCTGTATTCATTTACCTTTTCACTTTTAGACATCTATTCATCGTCCAGACTGTGTTCTACCGACGTGAATTTTTTTTTTCGCTTGCTTTTTTTTTTATGCACCACCGTATAGAAGTATGAAATATAATTACAGTTCTGATGCATCGCTCTCGATTGTCATTCCCACCGTTGCCTGGCCAGACCCCCGCGAAAACCCATTCACCCCAGCCCTGCCCATATGTTATGTGACGTCACCGCGCTCATCATTCTGCCCTCCGCTCCCACTCGTTTTCTACCCCCCCCCTCCCTCCCTCGCTCTGCCACATGTGAGGTGTATGCGTCACCCGTCCGCCTCCTCCTCCGCTGAGCAGATGGAAGCAGAAGTGTGTTTCCATGAGCGCCGGATAAAAGGCTTGTCGAGGAATGCCGCTCGAGAACAAAAAAAAAAAAAATGAGCATGATTGTCGATGTGCGGGCGGTGTGTCTGATACAGCCACTTGAACATACGCGAAGCCGGTGGAAAAACGGAAGATATTCACTCCGGGGGATTCATTTTTTTAATGCCTTGGCTTCATTAATAGCGAAAGTGTCGCGTCAAGGAGAAACCCGTGGCGGAATGTTGAGGTCACTGAAGAGCAATAAAGGAAATCAATTGGACCCTGCGACTTCCCGAGCACCGAGTAGAAACAACCCCAAACAAACCCATTGAGGGGCCCCTATTGACTTATAATCAGAAAACATCACATAAACACAGACGGAGACAAAACAAGTGATGGGGAGTTGCGGCCCTCGTGCGCTTTCAGTTCGAATGGAGGCGTTAGCGCCTCCTGCAGGACGCGTGTGGCACTTTCTGTCTTTCTCGGGGATGCGGTTTGTTGTTCTTTCAACAGTCAGCCGCGTGTGAAGCGACGCGGAATTGTTGTCGTTATTATTATTATTATCATCATTATTATTATTATTATGATCGACCTGTACAGGGAAGTGCTTTGTTCGACCAGATATTTATCAAAAATGAAACGATGATTGCTCTTGTTTGCCAGTTGTAGTCGGCAAATTATTCTGTGTTGACATGTATAGACGTGTTTTTTTGTATTCCATACATTTCTCTCGCTCTCTCTCTGTCTCTCTTTGTTTAAATGGATAGAATAAATATACATACATACACACAGAAAATATGAAATATGTATTTAATGTATTTTTTGTGACATCGATTTATTTTGTACCCCAAAACTAATATATGTATATAACTTTTATACCTATAATAAAAGGCAGCGACGATTAAAAGTAAATGTATAAAATAAACTCACCTGCACACTCATTCTCTGAGGCAACCCAAATATTCGAAATGTTGGAGCTCAACATCACCACACACTCCCGAGCACAACCATAAACATCACACAATAAAGTCATGTTTCAGAGTGCGTCACACATAATGTCCAAGATGTAAACCACGATGAATTAACAATATAGGAAAAAGTTTTACGACGCCCTGTACAATTGAAACACACACACACACACACACACACAAAAAGCTATTATTAAAACTTGATTGTTTCTCCATGAACCTCCAGTTTGTTGGCCATGTTCGGACCCTGACTTACTTTCCTCATAAGTTGACTGGAAGAGCAGAGCTTTGTGAACTCACACTTGGCTTTTTTTTTTCTTCTTCTTCTTTTTTTCTTCTCTTTCGTATAAACTGTTGGAGGTTTTCTTTCATGAGATGCAGGCTAGATGCTGGCAAGAGACCTCGGTTCATGCGAGGACATCCCAGAATAGGAAAAGCAGGCTGGAAAGAGCCTGCAGCAAAGCACAAAAGTGTGGCAGGGATCCAGCTGAAGCCATTAGTTGTATGACTGTCTTGTCATTAACTACTACACGTGTTGAAGGTGGCGCTCGCGCACACGCACGACCTTAAGCACACAGTGTGTGTGTGTGTGTGTGTGTGTGTGTGTGTGTGTGTGTGTGTG